AAAAAAAAAAAAAAAAAAAAAAAAAAAAAAAAAAAAAAAGGAAAGGCCATGACCTTTGCTCCATCCCCTCCAAAGGTTCTTCAAGCCAGAAGTTACAAGGCTTCTAAGCTCAGTAAGATTAACATTGATAGGGACTGTGATATCCTGTTCAATGCTATACAAATACAGTCAGCCACCTTAATCTAAAAACTAAAAGAATAACTAAGGCATACCCCAGTTCCTTCCTGTGCCATTGTTTCTGCGAACATGGTGCAAGTTTACACTGATGTGAGGGTTCACCACTATGCCACAGCAGTTACATTGAGTAGGTCTGAGGCTTTCATTGAGGGGAGTAAAGTCAGCACACATTATGTTGTGGTAGGAAAACTGCAAAAATCAGAGATGTTGATAAAAAAAAAAACAAGCTTGGACAATGCTGGGGGAAATAAACAAAGTGACACCATCATCCAGAACAAGAGGCCATGGCAAATATTTTGCAACAGAGTACCCAAGCTTGTGCACTGGGTAAAAGCTTTTATTCTTAGTTATATCAAGCTTCTATTGCTGCAAAAGAAGTGTGCTACTGAAAAAGCACTCAGATCAACTGCAAGTAATAAGAGAGAAACTCTCACTGTATGGATACAAATTGGAAAATTTAACTAGTATAGAGTCTGCTGTTGGAATAGCTGGAAGTTTACCCATGAATCAGCAGACTGTTTTATGTCATTGTTGAAATAACCGGAGTACCATAGCTGCAATAATTGCAGTATTGTGGCTGCAGTGGCTGGAGTATTCATGTTAAAATAACCAGAGCATTATACCTGCAATAACTGCAGTATTATGGCTGCAGTTGCCAGATTATTGTGGCTAAAATAACTGAAGCATTATTGCTGCAATGACCAGAGTGTTGTGACTACAATAACCAGAGCATTGTAGATGAAATAACCAGTGCATTGTGGCTAAAATAACCAGTGCGTGACGACTTCAATAACTGGAGCATTATAGCTGAAAAAAACTGGACTACTATTGACATTATATATGGACAAGGCTGGCAGCCACCCTGGCACACACCTGGGGTACAGCACTTCAGTCAACTCCTTGAAAGTCCCCTGGTAAGGTAGTTTGCCTCACCCAATTTTTTGTACTGTAATGGGTCTACCCAAGCGGGATATCCCATTTTTGGGGCTTATCCAAGTATTTCAACTTGAATTTCCTTCATTTTGAGAAGCATAATGTCAATCACTCATAAGTCTGCATGTGACAATCCAGCTTCACCTGGATATCCATGCTGTGCACAACCAGCATCTTGGAAAACCCTTGCACTGGATATTCCAACACTGAATGTCCTCTTCTCCTCCAGGGGTGTTCAGGGTCCCAATCCTTGATTTTCAACCACCAGCATATCATATGCAATCACCAGCCACACGATAAGGCCCATATGTTGTGAGGTGTACACTGCAAAGCTCTTGTGCACAATCATTGTCCTTAACACAGACTTATTTTGGGGTTGCATGTACAGGTTCAGATTTTAGCCACCTACTTGCAGAACTTGTTGGGGAGGACAGGTGGGATTTATTTTAACAAATTTCCATGCCACTTCAAACTTAAGGACATAATGGTACGGTATGTTATCAATCATAAAGCACAGTTTCTGAATGTGTTTTGATGCATAATTACATTCCGTTATCCAGTTTGATGTGTCAATAACTAGACAAAGGGTACAAAAGCCTAACAGACACTGTTTTAGCCCTGTTCTGATGCCAATGCAGTGCATTTCTACACCATGTTTGTTGTGACAAAGGGGTGGCCACTTTGACATGCTGGCAATGGATTTTCTGCTTTTGTATCAGAACATCCCTTTTTCACTTCCCAACAATTGACCTCTGTACCATATTAGCATCTCACATAGGGCCACTGACCTCATCCATATTTGAGCAACTAATGATAATAGTGTAAGTGGCACTGTTAGCACTTGTTACATGGATAACACCCAACATTGGGGCATATTCACTTGTATACTCCATGGATGTACACCTTTACACAGCTGATTGTGCCACCCATAGGTGGGAGGTCCATATGTAGCCATGATAATCCTTTCAATATGTAGTGGAAATCCAACATGATTATTCCACAGTTATAACAAACCTCTATGGATGTCCATTGCAGGCTGGTTATCCATCAGGTACTCACTATACACTTTTCATACATCTTAACAGAATGAATTTGGAAGTTCCATGCAGGCTGGTTAATATATGGATATCCAGTGCACATTGGGTATCCACTGTAACCCTTTGAAAGCAGCTGTAGAAGTCCATGGTAGTTACTCCACAGTTACAACAAGGTCCTACAAATGACCATGTTAAGGTTGTTATTCCTTGGATACTCAATGGTCATCTAATACATGTTCATTGAGTTACTCTGAATATTCAATTCATATCAGATAGGAAACTGCAGGTTGGATATATACATCCACGGATGTCCACTGCATCCAGGATATCCTTTGTGAGCACAAAGATGCAAATCCATTTTCATGTGGATGTTCATGGGTATTGGGAGGATACTATGTGGATATCCACCCATGTCACATGGACACTACGTGAATCCCCACCAGTGTCACATGTACATATGATATGGATATCCAGTACTTTGAGATGGCTGTTAGTGATAAGAATTAGGCAGCAATCTGTGCGGGAGAACAACATCAATGACCAATGATGCCTCCTCCCAGACAAGATTTACAGGACTCAATGTTCATCAGTGTGAGGTTAATCAGGAACACACAAAGTATGCTACCAATACCACCTTGCCATGTGCAGGGCCAACCCCAAATTCAACAAGTGTGCTGACTTATAAATAAATGAGTAGAGGGCCAATGTTTATAATAAACACAATGATAAAGTGTGACTACCCAAGTACATACACGAAGACTAAGGGAAAGTGGTCATGAAAACACAAGTATCCATGACTAAGCACATGATGGAATGGGCCAGACACAAGTTCGAAGGTCCAACATAAGGGCAGGCACACACTATAAAGAGCACCCAAAATTGGGACAAGGTTACACAAAAGCCATGAGAACGGTTCATATAATCTCATTGTATAGTAAGGAACTACTTGACTATAGTATACTCCAACAGCAGCAATTCTTCTTACCTATAATGCTGGTGTTTTGATTCCCGGTCATAATCAGGGCTATAGTCACTAGATGTATCTGCAATCAGCTAAATTACTTGGTTGATAACATGATCAACTGACCTATAATGGTGGCAAGGAGACCAATAGCGACAGGGTGGAGAGGGTGTGTTAACTCTACATATTTTAGTCAGCACAATTGACACATCAGTAACTGGGCACAACCCTCATAGGAGAGTGAGCAGGCCCGCAAGGCGTAACAGACCGGTCATCACAGCGTGAGGGTCTTAGCTCATAGGTCATGTCATAGGTATAGCCACAAGGAGCCCTATGCTAACTGCTGCATATTAGTAACACAACACAGTAGAGGGGAGATCAAATAGATGTACCAGTGTGGGGAACTACTGGGCAAGCGCAAAGCATGACATTCACATTTGGATCTATGGGGTCAACCAGACCGGGCCGGGGACATGTGGCGGGTGGGGTGATCAACGCAGCAAGTGTGAGATGGAAATGGTGACCTATAGTACAACCAAGACTCCTGCCAAGACAACCATGCAGGCGATGCATGTCTGTGCCTGTCAGTGGCCCTGTTGCAGGGGCTTGCAGATTGACAAGATTGATGTGAGTGCGCAACACTGCATGCAGGAGAATGCTGGTGTTCCAGATGTTGAGAACAAGGAAGTGAGGAGACAGACAAAGGGACAATGTCAGCTACCATTGCAGCCAGTGGGGCATGGACAGGATAATGAGAGCAAGGGGGTGGGGAGACAGATGAAAGAACAATGTTGGCCATCAGTGCAGCCAGCAGAGCACAGACAGGTACAGGGTAACAGGTGGTGTCTTGTGTGGCTTCTACAAGTTTGGTTGGAAGTTGCAGAGGAGAAGGGGAGACCAACAAAGGCACTGCATTGGCAAGGGACACTGCTGTTGGGGCCGGGGGAGTGGCCATTGCAGGTGCTGAGTGGTGGCCCATTCCACCTGAGTTGGCAGATTCACCGACTGCTGTCTGCAAAGAGCTGCCTGACTCTGTGCTCCTGATAATAGATAAAAACAGAATTAATGAAAATGTGAACACAACATCACATGAATAATACCTTTATGCACAACCATAGTGTGATGTACTGTTGCTCATCTTACTCTGGCCCTTACTTGGAGGAGTGCCCTCCAGTTGCTTGCCGCCGTTAATTAAGTCGGTGTCTTTCTTGGCTTGCTTTCAAGACTCCAGGCGGGAAATACCAGCCTTGGCCCATATTTTGATGTGACTGTCTTGACCAACTACAAGAGAAATTTTACCATCCTTGTTGCGGCTGATTGCGTGGCACTCCGTTACAAGGAATAAGCAACCAGCTACGAAGATTGGGCAGAGGGGACTCACCATCATCCATATGAACAACCTTCATAGCCGTCTCCAAGGCACATGGAGGACCATCATATTCACTCTCCTCCTTGCCCTCTTCCTTGGCCCAGTTCTCATACAGTTGCATCATCCACAGACTAACAACGGAGAGGAGCTCAGCAATGTTGTACTCCCCTGGGGTGTACTTACCAGGGAGAGGGATTCTTGGCAGCCAATCCACAATCTTGAGACAATTCTGGTACAAGACCTCCAGATAACCGCTCCAGGTAAACTTGGATTGGCCTTGAGACTTCTTATCACCTGGCTTGCAAAACAGCACATTGAACTTGGCTGTGCAGCAAGAATTAGGGACATATGGTTACATGAGAGAAGTTGACCTTACCTAACAAGTACTTTTGGTGGATGGCAGCAATGCAACAAATCCAGTCACATGTGCCTTCCTTGGGATTGTAGGACTTGAAGATAGTTTACTTCAGCTTTTCCTCAGTGCTGAGCTGCTGATTTGGCATTGGCTTGGGATTGGGAAAGTGTATTTCAAAACCAAAGAGCTTCACACTAATTCACGTGTCAGGCACCACTCTAAAAAAAATGAACAACTCACAAGATGAGATTCTCCATGTATTGGATGTAACCCTTCATGTTTGTGTCACCAGCCTCAATAAGTTCATCAACCACGTCACATCCACTCCAAGCCTGATTGAGGCATCAAGGAGTGGTGTTGTTGGAGAGGGTGATGGCAAAGCCCCCAACATAGATACCATACAGTTGTAGTAGAGTTCAGCCTAGAGAAGCATGAGTACATTGGAATAGTTGTAAGGGCTAGTGATGACTTACAGCCTCCATAAACTGGGTGATACACTGGTTCATCACAGCCATGTGCTGATTGACGGACGTATTTTGAGGGTCACAGAGTTGGTCCCAATGCTTGAGGATAGGAGTCCAGACCTCATGCTTCAGGTTGAGAGCAAGGTTGGCATTTTTATGGACGTGGAATTGGTGTCTAAAGTAGTTGCTGTTCATGAGCCTACATGATCCCAGAAGTCAGCGGAACATGCCTTCTGGGCAATGGGAAAAGGATCTTTGAGGTAACTGACCAGTTTCAAAAACATGATAAGGCATATAAGTATATCATACCTTCCTTGTTATGCTGGCTCCTCCACCACCAGCTCTGGTGCTTGTTTCACATACTTTCCATGTGATAAGTTGAGAAGGTCAGGCCCAGTGCTGTGGCAAGTGATGGGCGAGAGCAACCAGTGACAGCAACAAGTTTGTCAAGAGCTGTTTCCCACTCTTGCTTGAACTTGACCACCTCCTCCAACTCAGTTTTTGACCACTGACCCATCTTGCTGGTTCCCTTGAAGGCCTTTGACTTGTCCTTGGCCTTTGCAATAGCCTGAGAGTATGGTGGAGGCAGGGTGGCAGGGGGCTGCTCAGAAGGAGATGGATTATTATGAGACAGGGATACTGCAGGGTTTACAGGAGCAGCAGGGGCAGGGGCAACAGTAACGGCAGTGGGGACAGCAGGGGCAGTAGAGACAGAGGGGCATCAAGGGTAGGAGGGGCAGCATGAGTAGTAGGGACAGTGATGGCATTGGGGACGGTGGTGGCTTTGCAAGAGGGCACAGAAGTAATGTGTGTAAGCTTCCTTAGTGTTGAGGTAGATGCATCTTTGACAGACAAGCCATCCACGTCAGATGCCTCCTTGGACTCATACGCATCCTTAGAGCCACTATCACCCTGCGATGACACTATGGATTGATGTCAGACCACAAAGCAATGGCTTAGATGGATTCTTACTATCATTGTCAGAGCTGGCAGGAACATAATGCTTGCTCACTGAGTGCATGTACCACCATAGCTGTTGATCAGCAATATTGATCTTGGTTAGCTGAGCATCAGCTTCCTCAGCATCCTCAGTGTTTTTATTGTTCTTGTCTTCCTCTTCTTCTTCCTCTTATTTGGAGTTCTCATCTGGGGTTAAAGTGTTATTGTCAGAACTAGCTTGCATTAACCAGGCACCATAACACTTACCAACCAACCAACCATCACTCGCCAATGCAGACTCACAAGGAATACGGGCATCACCAAGTATAACATTGTCACTATCATTGGGTTCTCCCTCAGCATCCTCATCACTGAGGTCATTGGCTTGAGAAGTAAGTGGCTCCTCAGTTGACAACTGCATGCCTTATGAGGAAGTGGAGATGTTGAGGGACTAACTGGTGGCGAAGGTTTTCCTGACAGTAATTGAGCTTTGTAAACTTATACTATGCTAACTCAATGTGACTCACACTTAGGCCATATACAGTTATGCAATGCTTCCACCTTCTGAACCATCCTCTCCTTGAACAATGACTTGCTGTGTTCTGGCTTCCTCTTGCATGGCTTGGACTTTAGCCGTACAATGGTCACATCCTATAGCCACGTCAGAAAATCATAACAACTGTGGAGGAAACTACTAACCTCCTCATTTACTGGGACACAGCCACACATGAGTACTCCCTTCTTCAATACTTACATCTACCATCTGCTTCCAGAAATGGGTGCAGGTGCCCCATTCTGCAAAGCTTATGTGTTTGCCTTCCCCTGGCTGCACGCTGCTCAGGGAGCCCTTCACCACTTGTGGCTGGCCCTGTTGACATGTGCTCTGGTCAAGTCATCTTCTCCACAAGTCAGTTACAAGCATAAGGCATGATCCACCTGCAGCCTGGTCAACAGGCCAGAAGGAATACCATCTATAACTGCCCCAATTGTGGATGTGAATATCTTATCTTGCAGTGGATATGCAGTGTACATGCATGCCTGCAGCATACACATGTGCATACATGCACACATGCACACCCATACAAAAATATATACAACTTAGATAGTATATGTCATATTGATAGTGTTAACAATACATAACAGTGTTTATTATTGTTTGATTGGGTTTAGACAAAGTTTAGACAAGTCTAGTCAATTTCTGTGAGCAAGCATGCCTGATGCACTGTGCTCATTATATCTCATTTGCAGGGATGGTGGGCTCTTCTGAATTGAGAACTTGGGACTGTATGCACAAGCACAGTTTATAAGCCCCAAAGCAGGTCAGGAATTGGGTGCTGGTCACTTACTCTCCTTCCTGCCAAGGAAGACCTCTCCCACCAAGTTTCTTTGCTCAAAAAGTTGGTTGCTTACTTTCCATATGACCAAGAGTTTTCAGGCATATTGTTTTTATTTTTATTTTTACAATAGCTACATTTTTCTTTGTTCTTCTTTATGCTCCACCCATGTTTGGGTCACTTAGTTACATTTTTGTAGTCATGTACTTGTATCTCATGATGCATAGTATTTATTACTGGACTTCTGGTCGCTCTGGGAGCTGTGGCACCTGTACCTCTCAGATGCAATTCACTCACTAGCTGCAGGATCAATTAGGGCTGTCCATCATTGCTTGCTGCTGCAGCAACAATTGAGCCCCAATGTTATGGTACATTTGTAATACTAGCCATGTTCACTAGCAAAATCAAGTAGGGGAAAGAGTTGAGTAACAGGAAAACCCTTGATAGACAATAGATGGCAATTGGCACCTCCAGGCCCAAATCACTGAACTTTGATTGAGAAAATACATACCAATGTTTGAATGATCTAAGCTTCAGTGTGAAATTAATCTTGTTCAGCATTAACTATGGTGGTTAGCCATTACGACAAACAGAGAAAATGGTGACATTGTTATAGCAAAGAAAAATAAATAAAGTGGAATATGAAATACTGCATGGCAAAGTGAAGCCATCAATGCATGCATCCAGCAGAGACCTAGCCCATGGATAACACAGTATTTTCTCTTTTAACCCTTATATGTGCTGAAGGCATCATCAAAAAATGTCTGCAGAACTCATGATTTGGTCCTTTACCCCCTCTATAAAAACATCCACTTCTGTGTACCAATCTGATTCTACTGTACCACCCAACACTACAAATGCAAGGGCATAGGCAACATACAACAAGACCATTTGTTCACAAAGGTCTTCTTGCTGATGATACTCACACTCTGCTTGAGGTTGTTGATAGGTTAAATACCATTACACCTGATTGCAATCTCCACCATTATTAAGTAATAAATCTCAAATTCTCAGTCCCAGTGAAAAGATTATCTATTGGTTTTCATTTTTCTATTTATTTCTCTCAAATGTCACCTGTGTCTATTTAACACAATAAAGAAATGCAAATCAGCTGCAAAACAGTGTTTTTATTAACTCTATGAGTTGTAAAAGCAGAGAACTTGCCCACAATTGAGTGAGGCTAACACTGTTATTCACATATTCACTTGCATGAAAGTAATTCAGTGATTACGCTGCCATAAACCAAAGCCATGGCAGCGGCCTTATTTTGCTTGGTTATACTTATGTGTTGCACTTGGACCTTGCTATGATCAAGTCACTACTAAACATGTAGAATTTTGGCACACTTCTGAGTCATCATGAACAGTAAATTACATATTGCATGTCAAAGATGTGTCTTTGCATAACAAAATAAGAGGAATATTGACTGAGCCCCTCCCGCCCTGCCAGTACACTCTGTATACTACACAAGTGGGTGAGATGGTTTTCGTATGGTCTCTACTCTTAGCAGAAGAAACACGCAGGTGGGGTAACATGGGGGAGTACTGTGGCATGCAGTGAGCTTGAAGGGTACTTGGAATGTTATCTATCTGTTTGCTGCAGTGACATCATCAAGAGCAGGAGGAGAAAAGCAGTCAAATGGAACCTGGACCTTATATATATATGCACACCCCGTTACTTGTGTTATCTGTGTCATCTTACATCGGCTTTCCCCCATCCACTCCAGTGTGCCACTTGTGTCTAAAGGTAAGCAGCTCATTGTACTCCACAAATTTATATACTAATATCGCACCTAGCATTGCAGGTGGATGTGGGAGAAAATGTCAAGTAGGAATGTGGTGGTATACCCCCTTGTTCTTGTGTGTACAATACACTGTTCATGACAAATAATGACTGCATTTCAGGATAGGAAGACTTCCCCAGAATTCTCATAGTCAACTGCAATAATCACCAATGTGCCACATCCAACTGAACAATCTTAGGTACCTACACCCTCACCGCATCTCTTACAACAATTTTTTTGTGTGCATGCTCTGGTCTTGGCAATTCATCAGTGCATATACTCTGCTCAACAGCTTCTCAACAACAATCAGATTTCATGTGTCCCAATTAGAATTCTCAGAGGGCACTGAGCTCGAGGTGCGCTTTTGTGATTTGTGTTGGGCATATTGTGTGTGATTCATTGCTATCTGTTTCTATTTGTTTTGTTTTGGTTAGATATGAATAGTTTTAGATAGAAATGAATAGAATTGGTTTCCATCTATTTTTATTGACTGGAAAAAAATCTATTGAAAGATAGAAATTAATAGAAATCAATAGATTGTGTTTTTATTGGGGCTCAGCTGCCATCTATATATTACTAACAACACTATCACAAACTATTTGACTGTGAGATGTACAGAGAGGCTATGCCACCTTTGGCTGCACAATCATGGGCACACATGTATGTTGATCATATTAGTCATTACATACAACTTAGCCAAGATATTCAACTATTACTCAGCCTATAACATCACTGAGTTACACTAGCTACCTATAGTGTAAATTCCTCATACTATACAGTTGTTAGTCACATCACTCCTTACATATTTAAGACCTAGGACTTACATACTAGGAATGCAAATTCTCTCTCTACAAAACTTACCATCACACTAAGCCTCAAACTACCCAAACCAACACAACTATCAGGTGAGTATATAAAATACTTCCTCTGTGCAGATGGGATGCTGCTCACATCATTTCAAATTATAAGTCCTGCTGGAGTTTAGTCTTTGTACTACTTAGTACAGTCAGGCTCCACCTATGTCTTACCTGAAGTGCCTTGCTTCAAGGTGTCACCTAATGTTGACAATGTTATTACTAACTTGTTGTATCAGATCATGTCTTCCAAAAGCAAATGCTCCTATAAAAACACTCATTTTACCTTCAAATACAAGACTAATTTTCCAGACAAGATGATAGTAAAGCTTGGAAGAAAATATGGCCTCAAGGTGTTGGGTATGGCTGGTGTATTCTAGCAGCTGTCTCATCTCCTGGAAATCAAGCTCCCTGCAAAGGGATTGCTGTACCCTGTGCAATGACTTCAACACCACTGTCAAGTATTTTTGAACAGTCTGGACCTTGTGCCCACCAAGCCATTCAAGGCCCTGCTTGTGTTGCACAAGTTCCCAGGAGCATTTGTACAACATGATTGTGGAGGTCTATAATGCAGAAGCCATTGACATCAATACACCAAAGGTTGTAGACATAAAAATAGCTGCAACATGACAGCAGACACACATGCAAACAGAGGCATCAACCAAGGGAACTGGTCCCAACAAAACCCAGGGTTCCAGGAACTGCTCAACTTTACTGCACATGGAGGCAGGTAAAGCTGTGTCAATCAAACACCATAATGCTAACCCAGCCTGAAAGTCCCAGCAGCAGCAGAAGGCAGTCCAAGGACAAAGACATATGTTACAAGGGGCACCATTTTTACAAGAAGGGCAAACACACTTAGCATAGATCATTATGATGGCAATGATGTTTTGCTTGCCATATTGGCTGATGCAGGCAATGTCAATAGAATTCTACAATCATCACCCCTGATGTCATGACCTGGTTTACCTGAACCAGAGTCTGGCTCAGAGGAACCCTACTCACCAATTCAGATGAACTTCAATGATGATCTCAAAGAAATCTCTAAGTCTGTTTGTCAGGACAAAAAAAAACATGAAGTCATGAGTATGGTTCTGGACAACAACCAGTTTGCTGCAGCCTATATTGGTATAACATTAGATTTGGCACTGTGTTACAACCATTTTTGGACAAACCACAAACATGGTCATTCTCACTGACTTTACAAACATACAGTGTATGTGTATTCAATTTGTAAAGTAAGCTGTTATGCAAACATGCCAGTTCATCAACTCAGCTATCTTGTATCATTCAAAAAAAAATCAAGTGCATAGACATTTATTTTAGGGTCACAATAATTAAAACTTGGGGGTGGGTTTTTCATGATTAGTGAACATATTTTTGCCAAGCATTGACAGAGACTTGGTATATGACACCTGAATAGTTTCTAACAGAGCAGAGTAGCAACTTGAGAGCTAGTAATTTGGTTGGATGGTAGTACTTTCAGCTCTCAGAACAGATTGCATATTGGATGATATATTGGTCAGATTTGATTTCAGTGTGCTGCTTTGCACTAAAAAAAACTTGGACTGAATAAAGATGAACAGGGCATATAATGGATATATTGCTCAGCATTGCCAATAAGAGCTTAAACTCTAGCACAATTCAAAGGTATGCATGTCAACTTTCTGACTGCTCTTTATATTAACTGAAGTGCTTTGTACAATTTTTGAATTTTGATTTATTCTAGTTATTTAATTTATTTGTGTCTACCTGAAACTTAGCCACTGGGGGTCTGTGCATATATTCCAAAAGTAACATGATACTAGTGCTGCTCCAGAGGTGGTGTTGATAGCCTGAGGAGTGATTGAGGCCAGAGAGTGGATGGTTGCAGTTCAAGTTTCTCATTGTTATCTTGGTTAAATCTATTAAGCAAGTCTAGAGTCAAATCAAAATTCATGTCTAAGATGCCAACCAGCCAATATGAAATTGTCCAAAGTACATGAATTTCTATGTTCTGAGCCTGTCACAAAGGACCAACAGTGCTGATTGATGCTTGCATCACTAGAGTCACTGGAATAGGGGTCATCATAGGATGTTATTGATTTTTTATGGCTGTTATTTTGCTGTGTTATTTAATCTCCTGTGTAATGTGTATGATGTAGTTGGCTGGCAGAAACAAGCATTGCATGCAGGTGGGTTTTGGTGAACATGATATAACAGATGGGATAGAGGACAAGAGCATAGATTGCTTTTGGTCACTATATCATTCATAACTGCTATGGCTAGCTGTAGTAAGAGCTTGAGCATGCCAGTGTAGTTGAGCACACTCAAAACACTAAGTCTTTGTGTGCTCTACAACCTTTGCTTGGTCCAAATATACCATAGCATATTTTTAGGTATTCAAAGGCTATGTTTTCAATATGCTCTAGTAAATTTTAGTTGGAGTATTTCTGCAATAATATAGGTATACTTCCAAACTTTACCAGGTTTTGCCCAGGAATAATTCACATTTCTACACTGTGCAAGAGGATTCTCCAGCTCAAGGGAGCAGGTTTTGAAAACATTGACAAACCCAGTAGGTTATAAAACAGGTTGCAGCAAAAATGCAATATTTGCATCAACATTATACTATTGGCATTACAATCAAGCACCAGAACACAGCATGCAGCAGAGCATGTGGAGTGCTGATGCTGAACCAGTAGCTGTAAGCTGTCATCATGGATTATAAATAGAGCAAGGGTCAGCATTATTATTATTATTATTATTGCTCCATTAGCATTTGTCAGGGTTGGCCACCTACATCAAACAACTTGTATGTATGTTTGGTTTAATAATAAGGGCCCATTGCCTGTTCTCACTCAGTTCTCAGAGGTCCCAGGGTCAGCATCAGACAGCCCCCCCTGGTCAGCCTGTTTCCTATGGGTCCTCCAAGCCACTGTGCAGTAAGTGAGACTCTGCTGGTCTAAGTCCTTCTAGCACACATGTAGAGGGTGTCATGGACACAGCTTTGGAGGGTGGTGTGTATGAATGCAGCAGTAGCCTGCTACACCTTTGTTATAGTAACTTTTGTGAGGTTTTTTTGCTCAAGAAGCAGTGGTTCTACCCTGTGTATTCAGCAACTGCCAGTGGTTGGCCCATGAGCCCTGAAAGGGGCACCTTGCAGCAGGGTGAGCAATATTAACAAAAGAGGTTGTGGAGTATTACTGAAAAGACATAGGCTCTGTTATGAGTGGCATTGTTATCAATAAGGCAAGTATGGGCAAGATAAAATGCCACTACCCTTAATTACATGGGTGGAAAGGTGGGGTGAGAGCCAATTTGCAAGGGTGTGGAGAGTGCAAGGAGTGTGGTAGCCAGATCAATGCTGATGCAGTGGCACAACAGGCAGGTAATATCCATGCTGTAGAGTTGATGAAAGGGCAGGGGGTGTTGTAGAGGCTATACAAGGCTAGAGTGGGTGAAATCAACAAAAAATGTCATGTGACAGTGCCAAAGGATTGTAGAGTGTAGGGACTGTATGTTGAACATGGCCTCAATAATGGCAAGGTGAGAGTAGGTGGCTCACTACTGAATTAACAGTGGCAAATAAGGAGGACAGGATATGGGTCAAGCACTACTTTTGTTGTTTAGATAATACAAGGAGGTGGGCTGGAAGCTGAGCCATAACAACATGGTGACAGTGTTGTGGCTGACAAAGTAATAAAAGAGTCCAGCTAATTTTATCAACAAGTTAATAAAATAAGAGTGGGTTCATGCCAAGCAATAAAAAAAAACATGGAGTGCTGTCATTAAACCAATGATAGTATGCATTCTCCTCTTTATTCCTGGTGCATTTGGTGCCTTGTCTCTGGCCAGCCACAAGTATGTTCTCAAACACCTTGTACGTTTTGTTGTAGGCAGCCACAGGTCCATGTTTGGCAAGGTGCAGAGTGAGGCCTGTTGTGCACAGTCAGGGCACTCACACTTGTGCCCATTTTTAGCACCCCTGTATGTCCTTTTGTGTTGCACCAAAGCAGTTTCATGCTCAGTACCAGCAAGTAGGTTGCTAGGCAAGAAAGTAGGGCTATATTTCCAGAAAAAAATTGAGGGTGAAGACAAGGGAAAAGCAGAATGGGTTCACCTTGCCTTGTTTGACTACTGGCAAACTTGACAACAAGCCCCACCCTGTCCTCATCAACTCAACAGCCTAGTTACAGGGTTTCATCCTGTTTTAGCATCAATGAGGGAAAAACAACTGTACTGTACTATTACAATTTGCAGCATTTTGTGTATGAGGTGTATTGTGGTTGCCTGTGCTGTTCATGTTTGTATATGTTTGTAGTACTGCCAGGCCAAGTAAACAGTGAGCACAATGGGTGTGCTTCTTCTAACATCCTGTGCAGCCTGTAGATAGTGTACCTTGGACAGAGCATATGACTACACAGTTGGCAAGTATGTGGAGTAGCAGTTTCTACTTGAGCTTTGCTCACCATCCCCTTTTGAGGGAGGAAAAGGGGAGGAGCCTGAGGTTTGGTGAGTTGGTGGTGATGCCAGTTAACTGGACAACCAGACAGACTGCCACGGGTAGTAAATACAAAACTTATAAATTAACAAAGTGATTATTATAATCTGTGAAAGCAAGTTTAAATTTTATTTATACCAGATACATACATGAACTGCTTTTTTTGCTCTTGATCCTGTCCACCAGTATAATCCTCTCCATCCACCCCCTCTCTCTGTTTAAACAAGCAGTCAACTAAGCATGTATGTAAATAAATGTGAATTGGAATATGCACTATAGTTACTCAATATATTCAGAGTCTAAAAACCCTTTTTTCCAATTGTTATTTTGTCATTTGCAAGGATAGATATGTGTTTGTTTTACCAAAGTGCTGTGAGTTTTTGTTGTTGACATCAAAGTAAATACTAAAGTAAATGGATTGATTTAGCTGATAGAATACTCCAGTTGGAGCTTGCTATAATCTATCATATTCTAGGAGACTCTGCCTTTGAAGACTGCTTCTGTACCTGGCTGGTGAATGCTTGTCTGCAATGGTGATCACCACAATATGCAGGTAAGTAAAAGGTTTATTGGCACAAGATCAGTACTTGGTGGAGAATGTTTACTTGATATTTGCTTTTAGCCCAACCACACAAAAGTGTAGTAGTGCCAAAAGATACATGAGAAAACTGCTACAGGATGTTATGATACTACATGTTAAAGATATCCTGGTAGCCATGAGTCTGTTATGATATACTGCATATATGGTGATGTTAGATAACATTATCAGTTCTATCAGTTCAAAACTTGTTCAAGAGTGCTTTTCAAACATGACCACAAGGAATGTCCTTGAAAGTAATTATAATAACAGTTTATTATTGCTTGCTAACTACCATAAAATACTGATATCATAATTTGAATCCAGTCACAGGATGGTCTATTAAGGACAATGCTGGTGTTATGTATCAATGTTCAGAAGTGCACTACATCCTTTTCAAAGGATATCTTACTCAGGACTATGTAGTGTATATTTTTTCTCTTATTAGCTGTCTGCTAGTATACAACAATATTCATGCTCAAGCTGATACTGCTATTAAGTGAGCTCGCACAAGCAGAGTGTACTGCAACTTTGCACTTTCATGGTATGTTCATTATAAGGTGGACAGTAGAACTGTTCCTCAAAATCTGCTTGATGGCAGAAGCAACGTGAAGAAGGCCTACACATTATTGTGAAAGAGTTATACTATGCTTGGTTTTAAATTTGCCTCAGTTCAAGATGGAGCTTGTTATCTGGCACTGACACTGATATTTTGAAAGTGTGTACTGGACAGCTTTCACTGTACTATGCAAGAAGAAAAAGTTGAGAATAGAAAAAGAAATGAGAATCACAGGTTAAAGGA